GCCTCATTTCTCAAAGAGTAAACCAGAGAAGACTGGCATCTTCCCAGCTCTGTTGCACATGGTGGTACTGAAGGATGATTATGTTCAAGATTACACTATGCTGGATACTGGAGCAATGGGATCAGCAAAGTACCCTAGGTCATGAAGATGGGAAAAGCTTATTTCAAGGGAAGTCTAAGAAGTGGCACCCACATGATGCCACCCTCAAACACAGGTGAAATCACAACCAGAGAGAGATCAACCCTGTTCTAATCCTGGGTAATTCCTGCCCAAGACAGCTACCCTCTCCTCTGGACAACCATCACAGCGCACTCATGTTCAAGCTTTTGCCTTCAGGTTCCTCATCTTAGGGCAGGCCCATTTACATAGCAGTGACCTTGGACCGATTAGAAAAGCCTTGGCCCAAGAGTACAATAAATGTATTTAAGTCTATAAACACATACCCCAAGATAACCATAAAAATCACTTTCCAGTGTATGTTTTAAAATACTACCAAAGAGGGGTTAAAACAGAGGAGGGCTCGAGGCCACCAGTGTCCCACACATTACAACATAATATATGTGAGCACAAGGTTAAACAGCCATGCCCATGCGTAGGGTGCATGAAAAACTGGCAAGTGGAAGATTAATTGCCTGCACGAATGCTATTATTCCAACCAGCAGCAAGAATAAGAAAGAAAGTGGCAGTGATGTTGACAAAGGCAGTTATTATACTTGTACGTTTCTTTGCTCAAATTCAGGCTGTAAAACAATTGTGGAGTGACTGTTCATCCCCTTCTCTATGCAGTACTCAGGCTACTTCTCACACGCATTGGCTCTTTGTTTCGCCAGCCAGTGGCAGCGGCAAGTGACAAACCTGACATGCCAGATTCCCAGAAGTCCTGGGCATCCCACAGCCAGGACAACACCACACAGGGACCTTCAGGTGAGTGCTAGCAGTGCCTTGCACTATTTTATGGTCTCTCTGCACAGCCAGAGTAGTGTAAAATGGCTTAAATGTACAAGAGAATCAGGCCCCAAATGCATTCCTAGGCTGCATTAGCTAATTAAATATACAGAAAACAGCAAGGTATTACAGTGATACACAAACTTTTGCCTTCAAAAGCACTTACAGCAAGCAAAGCAAGACAACAGTCACAGACAACTCCCCTCTGTTAAACGGCTTGTGCAGTTCATCACGGGGAGTGAGGACTTTGCACAGCCAAGGAAGAACCAGAACTACACCACCATACGCACCCCTCGGACTCTATGCCATCCCCCAGGCTTCTGCCCATCCACATCTGCACATACATATTTATTTACTGGCATTTTCCGGGTATCTACCTGCCACTGTAGGCACTGGTAGAACTTAAGGGGAATGTTCTGCCAGCTCTGTTTCTACAACTCTTTGTTATATACAGCTCACTGACACTTTAAAATTTCTCACACTACAACACAGAGCACCCCGTTGTTCAGATGTGTATTTATTTTGGGGTCGTGCCTTCTAAGTGCCTGACCAGAAAAAAAAAAATGGCTCTGAGCATGATCACATCACTGTGAAGTGTATACTTGCATTTTCAGTCTAGTAATTCACACTTGCAAACAATAAAATTACCTTCTTCTGTCACAAAGGAGAGCTGTTATCATTACTGCTTCCCTCTCATGTGTACAGGCCTGGCCCTTTCTTTTTAATTCACCTGCAGTTTAAAGCAGATGCTGAATTCTTCTTGCCTTCTCTGGTATGGCTGTGTGCTGCTAGAGAGGTATTATGGCCCATGGCAAGTGCAGGGGCATTTTAAACAGGGATGTGAAATGAACCCTAGAGAGTGGCTATGATTTTCAAAAAAATGACTGATAGCAGCAGGTATTTTCATTTTGGGAGAGTTGAACCAAAACACCTAAAGAGGCCTAATCGTCAGACACTGGCCACTCCAGTATTGTGAATGTGTTGTATGTCTGGATGCAAACACAAATGGTGTAAAGTAGGGAGGAAAAGAAGGAAGCGAAGCTAAGTAACACCCAGGTTTTCAGTGCGCAAAGCAAGAATGACTACCCAAATGTGCCAGGGCTGCTGCAAACGGGAAGCAAGAATCTGTTCCTAAAGCCCACGTTGAACAGGACAAGAAATAATGGGCTTAGATGACAGCGGAGGGAAATTTAAGCTCAACGTTAGGACTAAACAATGCCAAAGCACATCCCATGGGGAGGAAGCTGCAGAGAAACTGCTTAAGGAAGACTGTAATGCCTGCAGTAGGCAAAGGTAAGGCATATTCTTTGTGTTACAGGTAACCGGCAGGCATTTTGGCAAACAGTGAGGAAAGCTTAGGCTTCTATTTGTGTGTCTGTCTCTTGTCTGAAACAAAAGCTTTCCTATGCATGTTAAAAAATGAAATACTACTACTACTACTATTACTAAACCGTTTTTTTACAGGCACTTCCCGACAGCAGGCCTCCATAGCACAGAAGGGGAATCAGAGTAGCAGAAACTCAGAGCGACCTGCTCAAGGTCACCCACGAAGCCACTGGCAGAACTAGGAACAGAACTGGCCCAGCCTGGTTCCGGCATTGCCCCATCCACGTCCAGGGCTTGCTCGAAAGCCTCATCTTGGCAGAATGGGATACAGCTGCCCACATGATACGACCCTCGGGCACACTTGCTGGTACACGAGCACATCAACCCACGGTCTCACTCTAGACGGCTAAACCAACATCAGGAGATAAGCGACTAAAATGCCATTAACAGAAAGTATGGCGGGCCTCCAAAGTGACTAATAAACTTAATGTAAGAAATAAGTTCCCGCAGTCAGACAATAAGCAGCAGCAGCTGCTGCCACACTGCTGCCACCAAAGAATCAGTAAAACATGCAAGCGATGTAATAACCCGCTCAATGTGGAGAAAACCCCCAGGAGACATTTTCAGTAAACCAAATGTCAAACACTCTGTCCCTACCACAATGATAACTACGTCGACACAGCATAACGTAGATAGCATCCTATTAGCTGTAATAGCTTCTGAGGGTCAGCCAGACCCCGTGCAGTTTGTGGTGGACTCAAGGTGCCTCCTGAGAAGCGAGGGGAATAAGGGTTATGAAGATGGCAGCCAGACGAAGTGTAGCTGAGGCCCAAGAAGGCTATCGTGCAGAACGACTCCACTGTCCCAGCTGTTTCAATGCACTTCACGTTTGGATTGACTTGCTGGAGGATTTTGGCTTACAGAATGCATTTTCCACGCAACTTTTGGAACACAAGTGAGTGCGGTGGACTGCGAAGGAGGAAGCAATGTCACCTCGGGGGACAGCAAACATAGTATGGTAACTCCTAGATTATTAGGATCGGTCTCACTATTTTTTTTTTCACCTTCCTCCCACTCACGCACACCCCGTGCAAGCTAAGCCTGCCTTCATTCTGGGGACAGAGCAGGGGTCTGTATGCCTGCCTAACCTGTAAGACAGTGCAATATGTAGTATACGCAAAAAATGACAGACACTCTAACCTCATTTGAAATTCTCAAAGCATAAGTAGTAACCAGTCAACTGGACATAATACTAAGAGAAATATTAGAGTCATGCATATTATTAATGAATATGGTATGAATTGGTTCTTCCTATACACACATATGCCACCTGCTAATTACCCCCAGACAAAAAATGGGGGGAACGAGCAGCACATCCCAGAACCATTTCTACAGGATGGTACGACTCCACTAGGAATGTCTCTATCCTGCCTCATGTTTTATTTGGGGCTATCCAAAACAGCAAAGACACCAATTCCATACAAGTAAGGAGGTCCTTGCCAGCTGGGAAGCACTGATAGCTGCTTGCTCAGGCCCTACATATCAGAAAAAAAAAAAATGCACCCCATTTTCCAAACAGACAAAAGTGTCTGTGTCTAATCTCACAGTGCACAAGCCACTTCTGTCCCTCTCTTCCTATGGTCCAGGTAAGGGGGTGGCAGAACTGACCACCCCCTTAAATGGCTGGAGGCATAGCTTTCACCCTACACATCCAACACATTTATTTCTGTGGTGAGAGGATCTAGACAATATTCAGAAATCAGAGCACTTTTCTCACTTGAAGAAAAAGAAAAAAAGAAAGAATAAAGAACGTATGAGAAAGATGCACGATGAAACAGCACAGGTCTTATTACGGACACAAAACGTCTTAGTGCCAGCTTACTGGAGAGCTCTCATCCAGAAGCCTGTGCAATATCCCAAAAGGCAACAGTCTAAGAACAGCAGGTATTTGGTTTCCATTTTGCAAACAGACAAATGACATCTCTCTCTCACAAAGCACAAACATGTTCCACAACCCAGGGGAAAGATGTTTCTCAAGCCTTCTACATCCATTCACTGGAAAAATTATTCCACCTCCTTCCCACAAAAAGCTCAGCATTTCCAGATTTAGTTTAAAAATGTAATACTTAAGAAATATGGGTGTACATGTAGAAAAACTATCTAGTAGCTATGCACAAAACTTCACTGATATTTTCTTTACTAATTAGCATGTTAAAACATTATAGTCTTCCAATAAAACTCTTCACTCTTTAAATAGACATAAACACAAGCAACATTTAGGTCTTGAGTGAACCTTGACTGAACCATTCCAGTTATTAACTGATCTAAGAAAATGCATACTAAACAGAATTTAAAACAGCTGCCACTTCTGTTAAAAGACAAGTTCTTTGTAAGTTTCAATTATACCTGAAGACACCAGATAATGCAAGTTGTCTATTTCCAAAATAATTCCATAAAACTAGAAGATTTCAAAATTGGAGGAGTTTTAAAGCAGGAGTCAAAATGTAGGTACCGAGATTTATGAAAATTTCTTGTTTGGTGTCACAGTAATTACAGAGTGAAAGCTCAGCCAGACTGCCTGGACAGATGTGACCAAGACACCCAGGCTATGATGCCAGTGACAAATGGTTAACTGATAAGAAGAAATGGAGGGGGCGACAGACTGAAGAACAGGTCAATATCATGCTGTCATGAAGCCATTTGAGAAACATAATTAATCTATTACTCACCTGGCATCATCATTCATTGTACAGTGGTCAATAGGTGCCATGAAGCTCACCAGCTTGCTATGGACATGATACCTGAATAGTGCAGGAAATAAGCAGGCAGCACATTAGTAACTATTAATGAAAAGGAAATGTTGCTGCTTGAATAGAAACATACCAGCCCCTGAAATGCAAACCGCTGGCTTTCCTGGTGGCTGATATCTAATGAGTCACTAGTTGTAGCTGGCAATTCCCCCTCCCTTCCCTCCTCCTCCTTTCTTATAACATGGACACAAGAATAATCAGATGATACACTGAACTGAATAGCAAGCCAATCCTTTTTTATCACAGCTAGAAAGAGGACATAAAGCATCCATTAATTGTGTGCGAGTACCTAATCAGACTCCCAGACAGACAACCCTGAAAAGTCAGAGCAAGAAGAACTCGTTTTCAGCCTTCCATTCAGCTGGCATCTTAATCACCTTCTGGAATTTGTGCCCAAAGAGCCCACTGCAGGCAGCAGAAGCGTCAGAGCATCAGACCTTCCAAGCATCCATCTGCTATCACTTTTTCCTTGCTCTGTGGTATCTAGGGCCCTAAAGGATATCAAAATCCCACTCTGCTAGCCATACCTGTAGTTGGAAAGTCTTACCCTGAATACCTTACAAATGGAGCATGTAAAAACAAGCAAAGGGGACAGGAAAAAGACCTGTGCAAAGAGATGGGGCATATCCAAGGTGATACAGTGCTGCATCTGTCTCAGCTTCTGATCCACCAAAATATTTCTGCAAGCTGTGCTGCACCTCCAGATATGGGAACCCCTTCCCGCTTTCCACACTGGGCTAGGAACTTCTGGTAGATTTCATGACTTATATTCAAGGCCCTGACATAAAATTTAACAGAGTACAGAAAAACTCAGAATGGAAAGGTGGCTTTAAACCCTAGTGTCTAAGGGCAGGGGATTCCAAACCAATGGCTTTTGGTGTACACTACCATGCTGCCAACCCAAGTCTGAAATGTTTTATCTGACCAAGCTGCTGCTATTTTTAGAGCTTGACAAATAGCAGGCAAAAGGATTCACAAGCATTTGCCCAGAATCACCTTTCCACTCTGTCACCTCTGCACTCCCTTTTGTTTGCTTATGCAGGAACATTCCCTCGAGGGGATTTTTAGCTCACAAGACTATTTCAGAATGGCTCTTCAGGCACAGCACACACTCACCCTTACACAAGGGGCTTCTCTGCACAATCAAGTCTTCCTCACTCGTAATGGAAGCAACTGCCCTGGTCTAACGCTGTAATGATCGAGTCAGGGAACAGACATAGCCATGCAGGGCTAGTACTGCAGCAAACAACAGGTCAATAGGCTGGACTATGAAACAGTTCGCTTATGAGACATTAACAACTGATGGATTCATATAGATCAAAGCTTATACAGGGACGGCCTGAGTAGTGGCAAGGGGACTTAGCAATCCTGATAAATTCTCTGACACGAGTTGTTTGTCCAGAACTAATTATTGTCACATTTTTTTAAATCACGACTTTAAAAATACCAGTCTAACAGATGTAAAATACTTAATTTCATTCACAGAAAGACATCCCATGCAGCACAGGACCAGAAATCACTGACATGACAAATAGGTGTGCACGCATCACTCCTCCGTATCTACCTCAAGAAAAGGCATGTCCTAGTGAGGGATAGCGGAGTTCTAGTCACCAGGTTTCTTAAGCTGGATGGTGGAGTTTTAGGATGAGCTCATTTCCCCTCTCAGTGCCCCAATTCCCCTGTCTATGAAGGGGACAGGTACTCATGTCAAGCGCAAGATCGGCTGCTTTTGAAAGCACTTGGAGACCCTCAGACCCTACAATAAACTAGCACATTTCATCCAAACGTGCTGTAACATTGAAGGTTTGCTAAAGGATTGCTAAAAAGGTAGAATTACAGAGACAGATGAAAATTAGTATGTGATACTTTGCTTTCCAGGATCTTAAAGTCCTTCAGGAAAACAAATCTAAGTACTGCTGCCCCCATTTTAGAGAAGGAAAAAGAAGAACAGAGGATAAGTGATCTGCCTGTGGTCACACTGAGTCTCTCAGTGGAAGAACCGACTATTTAAAAACACCCATTTGGACTCTACTGGACTATTCTGAAAAGATGCTGGAGCTTAACTGCATGTTAATCCTAAACACAGACAATGACACTTTTTTCTTTTATTGATATTTTCCCTGCAGGGTCAGTACAACTTTTATTTAAAGAAGAAAAAAAAGGCACCTAAGATCTAAGAGGCAATTGACTTGGCGAGATAGCTGATCTCTCAGGAATGCTGAAGCGCACAGATTGCACACAATGAGAGACTTCCCCATTATTCCTGGAGGTTTACGAGTCTGACTCAGTTGTGTGATGTTGTCAGTAGTTTTGACTGAATCATGAATATATCCAATTATGTGTGATGCTGACAGAAAAGAATATTGATAGTCAATAATTATAGGCTTTTCAGGCCAACAAAGTAGCTCTTCCCTCTTTTAATAAATTATCTTATGACATCTATCTTAAAAATTGCTATGCCAGGCCTGACCCAGACTGACTCCACTGACTTTCTATCAGATGCCATCTAAACTCACGATTTATAGTTTACTCACAAAAGGATGGTTAATGTTGCGGATTTTTCAGGAAGCGGTGCAGCTTTTCAGCATGCCTCCCTGCCACAAACACCTCCTCCACTACAAATCATGCAGTCATGCTAAACTCAGGGAGACTAATCTATCTGCTCCGCAAAGGGGGAAAAAAAAATCCTATCCTCTCCAGACTGCTTCCCTTTCCACCCCACCGCATGGAAGATTCTTCCACTAGAAACACAACGGGAGAGATCAACCCAAATTAGTGATCCATGAGTCAGGATGTGAAACGCTTTGAGGCTAAAGAATGCTGCGATGGGACTTATAAAAATAAAGAGAGATTAGACACCAAATTCCAATTGACAGTCAGTGGGAAACAGACATCTACCTCACTGAGGCTTTTCTGCACATCTTCCCCTAGAGCTGCTATTCACGTTTTAGTCAGCTAAATATATATTGCACAAGAGATGTTTATTGGCTTTCACTGGAAATTATGGCCCCAAATCGCTTAGGAACATTCGAACACCTCTCTCCAGTGTTTTCTGAGACCAATGAACACTCTTGCCAAGACTGATCTGGGCAATGCTCACAGGCTGCATCCAGCCAAGCTCTTATTCTAGGCTCAGAGAACATTAAGATTCCCCTGTGGATGCCCCAGAGCAAGACATCTTGCCCTAAAAGGCATGAATAAGCCTACCAATGCACCCCAGAGCCAACCCAGTCCAGTCAGACTTTATTTGACAAAATCAGAACTTCTTGCAGAAGCTGTCACCCACCGGATTCTCCTTCCTTTACTGGCTTTTCTGTCCACTTTCTTCTTTATTTTGCTTCGTAACTTCTGGATGGCCAGCCATTGCCTGAGGAATGCAAAACAACAGTTACACAATGTTTAGAGCCACTAGGAAAATGAGCATTAGGTACACTGGGGTCTGAGGCCCTTCCCAGCCCTTCTACCTATTGCATTTACACAAGAGAAGGAGATCAGAACCTCAGAAAAACAAGCATGAAACTTCAGGTGCCCGTGGTACTGCTTCACTCCACGGGCATGGCATTTAAACAGTAAGCTGTTCTCCTGACTCCAGCCATAATGGGACGCGCAGACCAGACCTGCTGATCCGGATGAGACAGTCACTGTTCAGTGAGAATATTCTACCTGCAGGGAAATCCATGGAGGCCACAAGCTTGGCTCCATTTTTTAGTCTTTCTTGATTACTACATTTTTTAAAGAATCCTTAGAATTAAAAAGAAAATCTTTACCAAATATAAATGCTAAAATCTGTAAAAAATGTCTCTACAGGTACTGCTTTTTTGTTTCAGCCTTGATTACTAGAATAACTTCTGTTTTGCATATAGAAAGCCCATAACAGAACAGATGGTCTGACACATCCTAAACTGATTCTTTAAGTGAGATAGGTTATGCTAACTTCATGAACAGAATTACCATGATGCAGTAGATGCTCTGAATTTATTTCCTCCCTCAGTTTTGCAATGTATATTGAAAATTATAAGCAAGTATTTCTCCTCACCATCTCTGACTTAAACCTGGCAAATCTAGCAAGAAGCCCTATATAATGCTCCAACTATTACTAAACAAAACAGAAGAAAGAAAAGCAATAAACACTTTCAGAAAGTGCTGTCTGATCCCTGACTGTATTTAGAAGGGAAGGCTCAACTTCTCAAACAGAACTTCATCACGTCAAAGAAGTTTTCAGCAGGGAAAAACTTCTACTAGTTATAAATATTTTTTTATGAAAACGAGCGTCATCTTACCTGATTTATACAATGAAAACTTGACATCAGGGAAAAAAATCTAGCAAAATCCAATTACTGCAATCTTAATATAATCTTAATTACTGTAATCTATTTTATTGTAAAGTCAGATAAATGTACAATGTAATCACCACTTAAATGTAATTTTGTCTATATCATGTTAAATTATAGTGAATAGCTTTCCATAATATTCCAGACATACACAAAATAAATTTGACACATTGCACTAAAATTTGGGTAATATTTTACAAGGATAAAAGTTATTTCACCATCACAAAATTTCCTAATGCATTTTCTCCACCTCCCCATACACATAGCCCCATAGCACTTTTTCAGTGGAGAGCCCCGCTCCAGCATTTTCAGCCTTCCTCTGCTTATACACTTTTCTAAATTATAGCCCATGGCTACTTAAATGTACACAGTTCACTAAGTGGTATTTGGAAGATTCTTTATTTTCTAACTGTAGAATTAAACAAAGAAATAAGAGCTTCCCTGCATGGAATTATATTTTACTTCTGCATGTAGGAAACATTCCCTGACACTGTTCTAATTGTATAGTATCTTTTCTTACAGCAGGGAGAGAGCATACACAGGAATTGCTTTAACAGATCTCAGGACAGAAGGTTTGCTCCTCTAAAACAATGACAAATCAGAGCTCGTAATGAGAAAAGGCCAAATTTCAGCAGCTGGCAGTCACTTTGTCTAGTTCCCCCTCGCTAGGGTCACTTAAGACACCCCTCTCTGCACTCCCTTTGTGCTGCCTGAACCACTGAGAGACAGAAATATCCAAAGTCTGGAACAAGCCTTTAAAAGGAAAGTATCTTCAGGGGATCGCAGACAAACCAGGGCACAGCTCAAAGGCTGGCGAACTTGGAGTCAGACAGTGTGATCCATAACTAAGGAATATGTTAGAAGGATGACTTTCTTGACTACTGTCATACTGTTTTAATAATTTGTTATGTAATTTCTTACACCCAGATGATTTCTCCAGAGTAATTCAAAATTTTGCCCTCTACAATGAACTGGACTGGAAGCTCACAAGTAATTTTGAACTTCTGGACTGGAATACAGTGCTGGGGTGAAACTAGTCATGTTACAAACAACTTCCTACTTACCTGCCCATTGCTACCTGGTCATTGGGGTCCAATGAAGTGGTTTTACGTTCTATAAGTTCTCGAAGGAGCTAGAAGAAAGACAACAATCCCATTTAAAAGCACAGTAAAGACAAGTTAATGCAAACACGCTCACAGGTTTCTCAGATGACTTAAGAAATTAGCTGCCAAGTTCCCAAGGGAACCTGTATGCCTCATTTCTTGAAACTCCTGGTAAAACCCCAAGCCCAGAACCAAGGCTTTTTAACACTTCCTCTGCATGAGAGAGTTTTCCAAGGGAAAAAGCTGATGGCTACGCTAAAAGTTTAAGTAACTGCAGATCATCCCCCTCTTCCAAAAAGGTCCCCACAGAACATGTGACTGAAGCATAGCACTGAAGGCCACTACAAAGAGTTTCTGTATGTAATTTCAGATGGATCTAGGAGTAGTATAGTCTTCCCTCCAAAGCATCATGGTTTATTTGGGTGACATGTAGCGTCATGTCATTCATCTGAAGACAATGTCAAAGGTTATGCAGAGCCGGAGGGGCACAGTTCAGCAGCACCGTGCTCCAAGCACAAGAAGCCCCGCATGGGCAAAGCAAACTAACGATCTTAAGTCTAAGCAATGGCAAAGGACTGGAATCCCTGGCGGCACTGCAAAGCCTCTTCTGGGATTGTCAGATGGGCGAACCGTTTGGTAACTGCTTGTCCCAGGAGCCCAGAGCAAAGTGTACAATCCCACGGCGGGCAAATAGGTGACAAGCCTGAGGGGATGTGAGCAGCTGAGCCTCGGCTTGTATTTCAGAGGCTGGTACTGTTCCTTGGGCTTCGGAAGGATAAAAAAGGCCTGAAGGTTCACAGGCTGTTGTGTACACAACTCCCACGGGCAAGAGATGTAATGCAGGCAGATCTGCAGTAACACCTCTGCCCCACAGGTCTTGCCCCACACTTCAAGTGGGGAGGGCAGGGGAGAACTGAAACACTTCACCAAACAGAAGTCAAGCGCTGCTGGGCAGTAACGCTTGCTCTGAGGAACAGCACAGCAAAATAATTTTTATAGCTAGAGCAGGAATGCTCAAGCAGGCTTTTCTATTTCTTTTCATGTCCTGAGGGCTGGGTTTTGTCCTTTTTGCTTCCTGCAGCCAAAGAATATTGTGAACAGCCTTTTTGGATACTTGACCGGTGCTATATGTTTATCACCACTCACTGTAAATTGTACGTGCCGTGCCTTGGGTATTAGCCAACGTATTAACACAAGGAACAGAAATAAACCCTCCAAAACTGAGGGGCATGGACTGCTTTCTAGATGCCGACATTTCAATGCCTAGGGAAATTATTGCCTCAGCTCAGCAAGCACCCAAAACAGACCCACCTGGAAACCAGAGAGTCCAGGCAATTCCACAAAGATACTAGAGAAGAAAGGATGAAAGATGCTTTTCCTCCACCCTATACTTTTGCTCAAGTAGGAGAGCTGGACTGCAATGGTCATTCGAGGTACAGCAACAGTCATGGAAAGCAGGGCTTGGGGAGCAGCCATGGTCCTGGCTAGTCTTCACCTGGCCCAAGACAGCATGCACAGACAAGGCAAGAGGACAAGAAAGAAGCTCCACATCTCCCCCACGGCCAGGGATGTGGAGAAGGAAATATCAGCTCAAGTGAGACGACGGCATTTCTGAGCACAGCTTAGCTCGTGACTACCACTGTGCTCAGAGCAGCCTGCCCTCAAACAGCTTCCCAGGCACCGACGCTGCCCCACTGAGCGCAGCTGACACCAAAAGCTGTCCCGGGCACAGTGCTACGTGAGAAACTTGCTAACCCCCATAGTTTCTGATCGCTTAAGTACACTACTAGAGGGAGGGAGGGAAAAGGCATGCACCCCACAAAAGAAAAATGCCATAAAGGTAGATGGGTATCATTTTACGACCCTTTTTTATTTTCAAATAAGAGACACTCAAGCAACAGAGATAATATTTATACCTGTGCACATCTTTTCTCTCCTTCAAGGCATACATCATATTATAAAAAACAAAAAAAGAGCAATTCAAGCATAATTAAAAACCTGCCATGACTTTTTTTCTATTTGCTTAGTTTTGGAGATTATTACTGCAGCAATTACATTTAAAAATTCCAGGACGAGAGGCCGCTGGTTTATTATCACAAGAAAACAGCAAGCTACTTCTCTGCCCTGTTTATCTGATTGATTCCCAACATCTTTCTGGCACACAATCTATCAGTTTATCTCTCCCACTTCATCACAGTCACTTCTGGCAGCTAAATACAAGATCCAAATCCAGTGTTACACAGACATACGACACAGTAAACCTATGTAACACCGCTACTCTGTAAACAGCTGCCCTTAAGGCTAAGCAGAAATGGGATCTTGGTTTCTAGTCAATATTCTGTCAAAAGCAAGGTGGGAGGGAGGGTTTTAACAGCAGCGAGAAATGGTGCAGCAAGGGTTTAGTGGTTTCTTCCTGTACCAGCAATAAGGTGTGTTTACTGTCTCCTCTTACCTTGCTTCTTTGGCACGATGCACTGAAAAAACTGCTGAGTAGTAATGGCAGAGGCTAAGGCACAAAACATGGTAATGCACAGACGTCCTACGCTCTTAGAGAACTGAGCAGCAAGACGTTTTTCAGCAGGACTTGCTCGTCCTGGTGGCCCACCAAATCCACAGACTGGTAGACTCAGGACTGCCACGAAGATCTTACGCCTATGTCTGCACTGGTTAGAACAAGATGCATTTTTGGGGCAGGTTCCTAATGATGCACCTGGGAAGTAGGCAGGATCTTCTCGGACAGGATCACTCTCCTTTTGGCAAGGCAGCGTTTCCCGTGATGGCTGTGAAGGGCAAGGAGCCGAACTGCGTGCCACTTAGCAGGGCGACAGCAGGGATCCCATTATTTGCTGGGGGGCATATCCTCTCCTCTGCGTACAGAATTAGCAGGGAAAAGCTTTGCGCAGCAGTAGGAGACTAAACCTTGCACACAGTCGTCTCCTCTGCACTAACTAGGCCACCAGCCGATCAGCCATTAGTTGAGGCAGAGACGGTTTTGTTGACCTTGGGGCTGACAGGGAAATGTTCTTTCAGTGCAGCGTCAACTGCAGGACTGGGGACACTGCTGTGGAGAGGAAGGGGGGACAAAGGTGAGGGGGAAGTAAAAAAAAAGCCAGAACAAGAGGGAAATCAGGAAATAGAAATAAAAGCTGCGAAGCATCTTATTACATCTAAATAGTGTACGTCTTAAAGCTAAAGTTATAAATCATGCTAACAATGGTTACTAAAATAAAAGTGGATGTAGCCAGAGGCTACCACTGAAAAAGTCAGTCTAGACCTGCCTCGCTGCCTTTGGTCTTTAAGGATTTGATTAGTTTTTCCGCTTTCTAGTTCAGAGTCTTGCATTCAGCCCATGCTCCAGAGCCAGCTAGGGCTCAGGATACAAAATGAATGATAAATTCATTTACTGAATAAAGCAACACTGTTTTCACAGCACAAGACTTAAAACACTTCCAAAGCTGTAATATTTCATTAAGCTTGGTGATTCTGGTTAAAATTTATTAGTCAAAACAGAAAACTCTCATCAGACCCCATATATTCCATTAGAAGTGATATATGGTGTCTCCCGATGTCTAATTATTAACTAGGAAGTGTAAGTAAATCACTATCAGCATTAAGCCCTGATGTGTGAAGACAGAGTTTGAGTTAGGCAATTTCAGCATCAAAAGGCTTTGATTTGAAACATATCCCTTTTTGCTTTCCTTCCTTCACCTCTTCACATCTTCCCTGAACTTCAAAAACCTAAGCTCAGTCTCCCACATAAGCAAACACAACTGCCTACCTGCAACCAAGTGCAACCACGTCCAGCAGCCTGCAGCTCAACTACCAACTCCAAGCTGCTCCTACCAAAAGCTGGAACCAGGAGGACAAACTACGTGCAAAGCGGACAACGGGCAATAGTAAGCAGAAGAAAGTTGCTAACGTCAGTTTTATTTGCCTTTGGAATGAAGCAGCAATGCTTGCCACTAGCGCTCCTGCGCGCGCGTTTCTGAACTCAACAGAGCTTCGCTATTAGAACCAACCCAGCCAGACTCCCTAGTCAAAACCAGGGACTACCAACCACACGAGTAAAGAAAAGCACACAGAAGTCGTGTGGTTTGCCAAGGCCCACAAGCCATGTTTGTGGAGGGCCGGGACCAGACGGGAACTGACTCTGCCTCCTGCGTCCTGAGCACGTGAGAGAGCTTAAAATCTCCAACTGCTAGCCAAGAGCAAGGCAGTGCTCCTGCAGAACAGGTCCGAAGGCAAGAGCTTCAAAAGCAGTTAGTATTCACCTACCTTTGCTGACACCGAAGCTGGAGTCAATGATGTGTGCTTTCTAAAGAATTCACCTTAAAAGGACTCCCTCTCTACACTAGTTAAAGAGATGCACACAAAGTACATTGTACAAAATTAGAGGGATTTAGAAATGCCATCAGGGTGTTGTTCAAGGGTAATAGAGATTCATTTCTCATTTTAGAGGTCAATTTTCATTTTAGAGGTTAGGTCTCATTTTCATGCACTATCTATCAGTGTTTCTAATACTACACTTGCTGACCTTTCTGATTTGCAGACCCCTAAGAATTTCCAGTTGAGACAAAGAGCTAAGTATAGCTGAAATAAGCCTCGTGACAAAAGGCTCACTTTTCTGAGACCTCACAGATCAATTCAAATTAATACTTTGCAAAAGTTGATCTATAGTATATCACAGGAAACAGTTGAGTTTACAAAGCTTAGAAATATAATCGGAACAAAAGGAACACTTTTTCTCTGATGTTATTAAAATCTTCAGAAAAGCCAGCAAAGGCACGAGTCATTTCTGCTACAGCGCATCAGAGCCACCTATTCTGTCTTGCAAGTGCCACTGCTGTCTTTGAATTCGCCGAGTCAGGTATGCGAAGAGGTGAGAGGCAGCCTCAGCCCGGCCATTGTGCTGGCTGCTGTATGGGAAAGTCAAACCAGTCCTCTTGGGCTCCCTGTGCCAGAAATAATATCAAACAAGGGGCCGACAATGTTCGTCTTAAAACAACTGTGCAGAACAATGGAAAAGCAG